GGCTTATATAGGCACTAAGTACATTAGGCAGAATCTGATTGGCTCACGCAAGAGCCCTCATTAGCATACTTGATGAGAGACAGGAAAAAGCCCCTACACATGCGCGTTCACCCTGTTTATCAGTCTTGTGGTATGGGTGTGACCAGGAAGTCAGCGCCATCTTGCAATGGCGTTGACACCGCGCCCCACATCTTGGGTTCATTCTCCTTTTTCATTTGTAATTATCATCCTCCTAGTTCAGCTCCTTGTCTTTGTCTGGATTTCTTAAATAACTTTATTTTGTTGTTCTCCAATCCATCTCTTTAACCTCTGAGTTATCTGTCCCAAATCCAAGCTGGATGATAATACTCCCATCATTATAGACACGCAAACTTCCTAGCTTCTCAAGTGTCTATGTACCAAATGCTGAAATCCTTACTCTTTTCATAAAGCCATTCATAATCTAACTGTGACCTATCGTTTCGCTTTTATCTTCTATAGACATGTCCATCTGCCCCACAGACTGGGTACACTTGATTAGCCTTATTTCCAATACATCATGTCATGCCCATGCTCATTAAACCTCCACACATACAGTTTTCTCTCAGCCACAAATGTCTTTTCCCTCCCTTCTTGCTACTGAAATTCTTTTTCCAGACTCAGCTTAAATGCTTCTTCCTCCTTAAAGCATCACTGGTCTTCCTAATGAGATTTAGTGATTGCTGTCTTTGTACAATTATATCTTGGTCTTACTTTACAGTATTTATTACTTCCTAGCCTGTGTTTTGTTTATGTGCATGTTTATCACATTAGATTTTAAGTTCTTTGAGAACAGGAGCTGAGTTTTTATTCAATGTTGAATTGTCTCTATTGCCTAACATGGTGCTTTGTAAATATTAATAGTTGGATTTTAATAAATGTCTTTTTTCCCACCCCTCTTAATAAAGTACTCCATCTCTGAAGTAAATATAAAAGGGGCTCGTCCTATAACAAACAAATCAGCAATCATAAACAGGAGGAGAGGTAATTTGTGAGGTTAAAGTAGGGCAGTTATGCAACTTATTTCCATTTGAGATGTTCTTGTTATTTTCTATCTACCTAATAAACTGCACCCTTTTCATTGTGGGACAGCTGGAGAAAACTTATAATTGTAGGCTTTGAAGAACTGGGCTGCATCAGAAAGGAAAGGATAAGATATTTTCAGATGTCAACCTATACTGCCACAATTGTTTAATTCCAAATTACATTTGGCTGGGAATATTATCCATGTAAAATAATATAAGGCCAATTAATAAAAAAGTGATATTTATGAAGAGAAAGTATATTTACTACTAAATTTTGAAATGACAGAACTGATGGCTTTATATTAATATACTTACATTAACAATATTTTAAAGTACATTTTTTTTCTTTATAAATATACTGACCCTTTAGGAAAAAAGCTTTTGTAAAAGGCTAAGTAAGATATTGTAATGACAAGCTCTTTCAGAAAGCAATCTATGAAAAAGCAGATGTTAAATTGCTTGTAAAGGGGAAAAAAGATAGCTATTTTTTGTTTCACAGCAGAACCAGTAAAAATACTGATCCAGAAAGGAGGAATATAAGCATACCATGTTATTAAGTAAGTGATACTGCCCCTGTAGTCCTCAAGGATAGAAAAACAGGAAACAAAGGACAGACAGATGGTTCTGTCTCCCCCACTTTCATCAGTTTTTCTCATGTTATTTGAGACATGGACAGGCTGAGATGAAGTGATAGCATCTCTAACAGAGACTAGCAGCAAAAGGATGGAAAATCTCTCTTTGCGAGGTCTCAATAATTAAATAAGGAAACAATGATGGACAGTTTTTATACCAATTTGACCTCCGGATCTTCCAGAAGCATTAGAGATGGGAATACAGTTTTGAGTAAGAAGTTATTTAAAAAATAAAGATTTTTGAATAGATTGAAATAAAACATGTTTTAAATTCAGCCTAGCAGTCTAGATATAAGTAAGTTTAGACCAAGTAGTAAGTGAAAAAACCATTAATTATTGACGGAGCCTCTTAGTTCTTTTTTTTTAAATAATAAGAAAATAATTGTTTTCTTGTTGCTTGCTTCATTATTTTAATAAACATATGAGAGAGTGGAAAACTGACTTAGTAAACCCAGGCCTTTTAGAAGTATGGATATTCAATCAGAAAGCACCATTCGGCGCCACTTTATGGCAGATTCGGGCTGTAGATTCTAAGTGCAGACAAGTTGTTTTAAGAAAATAAATAACCAGCTTTCTTTGGCTGTGTTATTTTACATTATTTTATTTTTAAAATTTTATTTTGTAATCCATGCTACTATTGAATGTCGCAGGGAAGAGATGGAATACAAACACTTTTTTTTTTTTTTTTGCGACAGAGTCTCACTTTGTTGTCCAGGCTAGAGTGAGTGCCCGTGCGTCAGCCTAGCTCACAGCAACCTCAAACTCCTGGGCTTGAGTGATCCTTCTTGCCTCAGCCTCCCGAGTAGAGTGGGACTACAGGCATGTGCCACCATGCCCGGCTAATTTTTATATATATATCCAGTTGCCAACTTAATTTCTTTCTATTTATAGTAAGACGGGGTCTCGCTCTTGCTCAGGCTGGTTTTGAACTCCTGACCTTGAGCAATCCACCCGCCTTGGCCTTCCAAGAGCTAGGATTACAGGCGTGAGCCACAGCGCCCGGCCGAATATAAACACTTTAATTCAGCTTTATATTCATTCATTCATCTCATTCAACAAATTTATTGAGCACCTACACTGAGACATGTGTCTCAGGATCAGGTCAAATTCTTAAATTTTTGCTCAAATCATCTTTTTTATATTTGGCCCCCATTGACTTCATCCAACCTGTATTCTCTGAATTCCTTTACAAGTTCTATACTTCAGCCAAGCTCGGGAGATGTTTGAAGACATGAGATATAGCATAGGTCTAATCTGGCCTGCTATGTCCCAATTTCCTCATCTCTGGAATGGATGTATAATACATCGCTCTTAGAATTGCTAGATGATTAACTGAGAAAATGTACATAAATGCCTATGACACTAATGAGAAGGCGGCACATTTGTGAACTACTGTGATTAGAGAGAGGCTGTATGCAGAGAGCACAGAC